GACAAAAACCACATCCCCTCCAACCCTGGCAAGGCAAACTATTGTATATAAACACTTGCCCACATTGACGATGCTACATGCTTGGATAATGAAGTGTCTGCAAGCAGACAACTGAGCTCAGAGAGCATCAAGGAATCCATATAGCAACAGCCACAGGAATAGCCCTTAGACTTATATACCGCTTCACAGGACTTCACAGCCCTCTCTAAGCGGTTTACAAGTCAGCCTGGTGCCCCCCAAAAAATTGGGTCCTCATTTTACCCACCTCGGAAAGATGGAAGGTTGAATCGACTTTGAGCCAGTCAAGATCGAGCTGCTGGCAGTCGGCAGAGTCAGACTGCAATGCTATATTTTCATCACTGCACCACCAAAGCTCTAATATAAAACCACTAGAGGGTTAGGTCAACATGAACTCATAGAGCAAAAAGGACATCACCAAGAAACTCGGAGTGTTTGGATATGGTTAGGAGGGCACTCACTTTTCTAGGCTGCCCTATCTATATTTCCTGGGAAAATACATGGGAAAATCCCATTGGAGGAAAATTCCACTTAGGGTTAGGGTTAGGTCACTGTGAAGTTATAGAGCAAAATGGACATCGCCAACAAATTCGGAGTGCTTGGGTATGGTTAGGGGGGCACTGACTTTTCTAGGCTGCCCTATCTATGTTTCCTGGTAAAATACATGGGAATATCCCATTGGAGGAAAATTCCACTTAAATTATTATTTTATTGGTGTGATTAAAACACAGAACTAGCTGAAAGAAAGTCCAAAAAAAAATCCCCTGACACGCATGCAGCAATGTTTAATTCCGTGCAGTGGAAGAAGCCCTCCAGCAATCACATGGCTGGCAATTCACAATTCCCCGCAGAGGCCAGGCTGCACAACTGGATTCCACATGGAGGCCATGTGTGCGAAACTTGTGCCCCGCAGCATTACCCTTGCTGGCCACTGCTTCGTGCCGGACGAGGCAGGAGGCTTTTGTAGGAGAGAAAAACACAACAGAGGACAAGATGCTCCACCAAAGGGAAGGCAGACAGCCACCCCTGCAGCCTGCTGAACCCCCAGAATTAACCCTTCCTCCCTGGCCCTAAACTACCATCCAGACGGAGCCAGCTTCGGTGTTGTGGTTAAGAGATCAGGCTAGCCTGGGAGAGCGTGAGTTCTAGTCCTGCCTGGGCCTCTCACTTTCTCGACGTTCTCAAAAGCCCTGCCAAGACAACGGCAGGGACTGTCCAGGCAGCGCCCAAGAATCAGGCGTGATTGAACGGAAGTAGAAAAAAGAGAGATGCCCCAGAGGGGGGGATCTGAACTGCTGCAACCAGGGATCAGGTTCAGACAAGTGATCAGGAGGACCCTCTGGACAACATGAGCTGTCAGCCGCAGGAAGAGCCTGTCAGACAAGAGTTGCCTTCTTGGGGAGCTGTGGAAGCAAAGCGCTCCAGTCTCTCCCAGCTCCTTGATCCTGTCGTCACCCCTGCCCACGGATGGCTGGAGGGGCGGGGAGGGCCCCCAGGCAGGCCCACCTGGGCTTCCCAGAGAGGTGCTGGTCCCCGCTGCTCCCCTTCACGCCAGTGGAAGCCCAGGAGAGGTTCCCAAGCGGACCAAGAACCCTTCCAGGTAGGCCCACGGAGCTGGAGAGACGGCTTCCCATCCAGCTGTGGGGCAAGCGGCCATCGTACGACTCCTCACCGGCCCCTTCAGCAGCGAGGCTGACCGAGACGCGCTTTGTTTCCCATCTACCCGCACAAAAGCCGTAACGTGAACCCAGCCACAGCACCCGCTGTGGGGAGACCCACTCCATGGCCCGAGGTCTTGCTCCGCGGCTCGTCTTGGATCGACCAGAGAGGAGAAGCGGCTTCTAAATAGTTTGGCAGTTTGTCTGGAGGCTCTACTGGAGCGGACGCCCGTCCAGGCCCTTCCGACGGCAGCTGGCACGGGAGCCACGTCCAGGAACGTGCTGTGGGACACCCAGAGAGGGCAAAAACAGCCCCGTTCCCAGACCGAGGAGGCCTCAGTGAGGCCGAGTAAGGAGGTGGAACTGCCTTCTTCGGCTGAAGGCCGATCAGGGAAGGGGTGGCATCCCAGAGCCACGTTTGAAGGCATCTTAGAGGTTGTCTAGTCAGCCCAATATCTACCACGGCATCTCCCACAGCTGATCACAAAAGTCCTCTTTGAAGGCTCCAGCAAAGAAAAAGGCCCACATGATGCGGCAGCCTGTCCAAGCCGGTTGGATGAAGATGCAGCTTTTTGAAGGAGAGGGACCTCATAGCTTCAAGGCCTTCAAGGAGGAGCCGAGCGGGACTCTGGACAGCTCTGCTCTGGGACCGCCTGGTGGGACTCAGCCACCTTCTTCTTCTCAGTGGGGCTCTGAAAGCACCCAGGTTATGGTCAGCTTAGAGGTCTCTCATCTTCATGGGGAGGGGAGGGGGGACACCTAAAACAGATCTGCCGGAGAAGGCGAGGAAGGAAGGACCTGGACTAGAATGCCACCTTCTGGCCAGGAAGGAGAGCTTCCGCAAGAACAGATCCCACCACCCACAGGTGAGAGGAGCCCCTGCCCAGCCCCCCAACCTGCACACAGGGAGCTCTCGGGAGCAGCCATAAAAAGGGCTCCACCTTCCCCCTCCTGCATTCCTGGAGGAGACCGACCAGGTGACTCCAGCTCTGCCCTCCTTCCTCTAGGGCACTGTTTCCCAAACTTGACAATTTTAAGGCATGTGGACTTCAACTCCCAGAATTCCTCCAGCCCTCTCTGGTCTCCGCTGCCCTCTGGTCGGCAGCCGCAGGTAGATGTGGAACACCAATGAGCCGCTGGGCGTCCTGAACGGACGTGTCCCCCAATAAAAGGACCTCCCAGACAGGAGGCAATGGGGCCAACTCAGCTCGGCTGGGTCTGCCGGGAAGCCCTTCCTGCTCAACCCGTGGGCTCCTTCCAGGATGTGCAACAGCAGCTCTGGAGTCCGGGACTTTGCAGCTGCCCAAGCCGACCACTGGGTTGCTGGATGTGGCCTGACGGGGCCCCGATTCTGCAGCGACTCTGCCCTGCTCTCTGGCGCTCAGTTCTTCCTCCCTGCCGTTTCTGTATCTTCTCTGCAGTTGGGGGAGGAGAAGGGGGTCAACGCTGACCACCTGCAGGGCTTCTCGTATCTGTCCATCATTTCCCATCCTGGGATTCCGGACAGGTGGGCTCCCTGCTCTTAAGCTGAACCCAGCAGGACCAGAGCCGGGAAGGGCACAGCCAGGAAAGACATGGGGGGGGGCGCTCTCGTGGCTCAGAAGGACAGGCTTTTTGCCCCCCACCACAGGCAGGAGCCCCCTCCCCCCCTCTGCCTTGGACTTCCGATGCTTCTTAGAGATGCCCCATTCCTTGAAAGCAAAAATCAGCCTCCCTGGCTGATTAAAAGTTGACAAAGAGCAAGCTTCTGCTACAAAATACGATGCAGACGTCTCCTCTGAGGCTCCTGAAAAATGCCTAATTCTTGACCTTCCGTCATTCTTTTATTTATTTATGAGACTTATATACCGCTTTAAGTGCAAGCACTCTCTAAGCGGTGTACACCAGTAAGCCATGTATATATATATATATATATATATTTACATTGCCCCCAACAATCTGGGTCCTCATTTTACCTACCCCGGAAGGATGGAAGGCTGAGTCAACCTTGAGCCGGTGAGATTTGAACCGCTGACCTGCTGAACACAGTCAGCTAAAGTGGCCTGCAGTACTGCCCTTGCCCAGTTCCACCTGAAATCTGCACTCGCCATCTGGCCCGGTGTAAACAGGAGGAGGAGGAGGGCTGGGGGAGGGGAAGGGCAAAGTAGGGTGAGGGCCGACCTCTCTGCAGAAGAAGGAAAGCCCAGGCTGGCCGGCCGGGGGCGATGAGGCCTCTGAGAGAGCCTTCCCCTTCCAGGCCCTGCTGACCTCCCGCTTACCCTGCCACCAAGGCCATCCAGATACCAGCCTCCTGGGGGGGATGAAAGGAAACTGAAAATGCAAACAGAAAAACACCCCTTTCCCCAACAAATAGAAAACTTCCGAGCTTTGTGAAGCTGACAGCCCCGCTGGAGGTGTTGACATAACCTTCCATCTCCAGCGGAGGCGTAAAGTCAACAGCCCCGTGTGCTGGCTGCAGATCCGTCAGGGAGATTTACATGAACTTGTCTGACATGAAATGAAAACAACAATCAGCCAGCTAGGAATGAAAGCTCTTTCTCTTCCTCCCTCTTGCTCTTTTTCTCTCCCTCCCTCCCTCCCTCTTTCCTGAGGCAGCGATTGCCACCGGCACCCCAATCTCTCCGGATCCGAAGCTGGGCAGGGCTTCCGACGTCTTCCTCCATCGGTCACTCTAACCCACCCGGGAAATTCTGCGTCCGGCACCCACGGGAGACTGGACCCTGCCCTTGGCCAGGACCCTTCACGCTGGGCCACACTCAACGTTGACCCACATGACTTTACAAGGACCGGCCAAGCGGGACGTCACAAAATCCACTTCTGCTGTCAAGAAGGAGCTCACTCATTCTGAGCTGCATCTGGAGGTTTTTTCACCTCAATCCCACCGCTCAGCTGCCCCCAGCCCCATTTCTGGCCCAGAGAGCTGAGCCACGGAGAGAGACTCAAAAGCCTTTAGGCAGGGGTCTTCCAACTTGGCCCCTTGATGTGGACTTCAACTCCCAGAATTCCTCAGCCAGGCACGCATGTGCCTGGCTGAGGAATTCTGGGAGTTGAAGTCCACAAGTCATCAAAGGGCCAAGTTGGAAGACCCCTGACATAGACTTTAAGAGGAGTGGACTTCAACTCCCAGAATTCCTCAGAGCATGCCTGAAGTCATCAAAGGGCCAAGTTGGAAGACCCCTGCCTTAGACCATCAAGTGTTTACAGACAACCGAACACACGCTGGGCAGGAGGAAGAGCTGAGCCTTCGGCTTGACCTTTCCACCGGCCCAGGGGCCACGCTGGCCTCCAACCACCCCTGGCCTTCTCCTCCCGAGGCAGACTTACGGGCAGGTGGGTGAAGACCGCAAAGGTGCTGCGCAGGAAAGCGATGAGGTCCACCAGGTAGCCACTGGCCTTGGGGGAGGGTTCCGCGGCTGTCCAGTCGTAATCGGCAAGTTGCAAGAACTGGTCAATCTTCTGGTTCAAGTTAGTGTAGCTCTCCTCCTCCGCGGCGTGGCGGGCGTCCTGTGGGGAAGGGCCCGGTCAGCAGGAAAGCTCACAGCGGCAGCCCAAACCCTGGGGGGGCTCCTGGCCCCCAATGTGACACCCATTCTCTTCCTGCCACTTATTCCACGGAATAACCATTCCCCGAGGACGGCAGGAGCGCAACAGTACGGGAGGGCAGTAGCGCCTCCTGACTGCACGGCTGTGCGCCAACCTACAGGAACACAGGCAGTCAACACCTGGCTCTAGTGTGTGTTTACTCCCGATTCTCAAAGTGCCGGCTAATGCCTTGCGTCTATTTACCCATGTAGTATGGCTGTAGTATTGCCACTATTTACTCCCCTCCCCACCTTATTGGGATGATTACGATGATACTTTTGCTTTGGATGTACACCGAGAGCTTCCACCCTGGAGACAAAGGCCTTGTGTATCTAATCTGTTCTGTTCCGTATTGTACTCTATTCTAATGCCGTCCACCCTGTGCCCAGGGATCCCCAGTAAAGCAGGACAGGGATCCCCAGTAAATACTGCCCTGCATTGAACATCCATTTGAATGTAAACTTTTTGTTCCTGAGAGTGTCCCCAAATCCCTGCACAGCTGTGGGAACCCTCTTTCCTCCTCTGCACTTGCACCCTTCTGCACCCCTGGGCGACTGGCTTCCACGATCACCAACCCAACACAGGCAGAGCAGGGACCCCAGTTTTTGTCCTCCTCCATTTTTTTCGGCAAAGGGTCCCCCTGATCTTTGGACAGCCTTCCTTCCCGCGGACCCTGGCCCTTCTTCAGATGTCTGCCTTCCGCCGTCCCCTGGCTGCTTTCCATGTCTGGATGGGGACAGCAGGCAGGGTCCTGCGAGAGGGCCATGGGGATGGAGATCAACGCTCAGGCTCACCTTGAAAGTGGCCATCCCATAAAGCTTCGTGGTGTGGACAGTTTCTGGAAGAACGTTGGTGATGTTGGTTATGAACTCTTCCAGGAAATGGCAAGATCTTTCCAAGTGCGTAGTGTTGATAATTATCTGGACCAGCTGCAGGAGCAACACACACTGTTAAAACCATCAGCCAAAGGCGGGCTGGAGGGAGTCAGGGCAAGGGGCGAGGGCTGTGCTGCCATTCGGAGGTGGCCCCTGGCAGAACCAGCCAGCCCAACAGACTCTCGTCTTCATCCCAGGAGAGGTTGCTAAGCTCCCACGTTTAGCTTGCCTGGCTACACTTCCGCTCCTATTCAGGACACACCGGTTGCAAAAAAACACAAGAACAGATCTGACGCCCTTGGCCAAGACGTCAACAGGGGCAGAAGCTTGAGTGACAGCACCTCTCTGCTCTCCAGCAGTTTTGGGAAACCTGCAGGCACCTCGGCTGTAATTAATTGGTGGGGAGGGGATTCTCCATCACCTGTCGACAGAGGCTGGGCCTGGGTCTTTCAAGGACAGCAAAGAGAAGCTGGGGGTCCCCCCGCTTCCCAGGCTGGGCCGTGGATTCTTTTCACCATATCATAAATCTAATGCCACCAATTAATTCTTCCTCCAAAAGGCCACATGCCAGGGACACAAGGCAAGAAATGATCCAGATGTCATTGCAAGCCCTTTACATCCAGCAGATCCTCTCTAAAACAGAGGGCCCCAACCTGTTGGGCACCAGGGGCCACCGGTTCTGTGGAGAGAGGTTTTTCCGTGAACTGGAGGGTGTGTGGTTTTGTGTGCTGCCTGCATCCCGTGGACGGGGCTTTGCTTGTTTGTGCGGACCGGTTGCTGGCATGCTGCGGCCCTGTGCCGGTCCACGGACCAGGGGGTTGGGGACCCTTGCTCTAAAACAGGGGTCCTCAACCTTGGCCACTTTAAGACTTGTGGACTTCAACTCCCAGCAAAGCTGGCTAAGGAATTCTGGGAGTTGAAGTCCACAAGCCTTAAAGTGGGCAAGGTTGGGGACCCCTGCTCTAAAATATCGAACTGGAGAAATCCCAAAGATGCTTTTCCAGGAGGCAACTGGACTGCTCATCCAAGAAGGGCCAAACCCACCCAACCTCTCCCAATCCAGAAAGGAGGCCTTGCCTCGGTCAGGCCGACGTTCTTCCTCCGAATGACGTTCTGCAAACAGCTGCTCAGGGTTCGAGTCAACAGCAAGTTAGTCGATTTCCGAATCATGTCGTCCACCTCCGTGGAGCTGAAAGGCAGACAGAATTATTGATCAGTTGAGTGACTGACTGACTGACTGAGTGGTCGCTAAGTGCAAACAAAACCATCAGCCAAGAGGTTCCAAGGAAGAGTGAAGCCAACTCGGCCGACACCTACAATAGAGTAGAGTAGAGTAGAGTAGAGTAGAGTAGAGTAGAGTAGAGTAGAGTAGAGTAGAGTAGAGCGAAGTGGAATGGAACAACAGAATAGCAGCTGGAAGGGACCTTAGAGGTCTTCTAGTCCAGCCCCCTGCTCAAGCAGGGAAAGGCGTTAGTTTCAAATGATGGTTTCAGAGCGTGGAAGTCAGGAGGCCTTTCTTGAGACGGGCGACCCTCCGATCTTGGCAATGGCCTGCAGCTCCTTGAACTGTGTCAGGGTGGACAGCAGGTGTGGGTCACAAACAACTGGATGAGGGAGGGTGGACACTCAGCTCAGGGCCCGATCAATACAAGCCCACAGATAGGAAGGTCGATGGAAAAATTATAAAGAAATAACCGGCTCTGCCTCCTTTTATCCTCATTCAGTTGATGGTTTCAACTATTTTGAACAGTACAGGCTACCCTCGACTTACGACGGTTCATTTAGCGACCGTTCAAAGTTACAGTGGCCTTGAAAAAAGGGACTCATGACCGGTTTTTCACCCTTACGACCACTGCAGCATCCCCAGGGTCACGTGATCAATATTCGGACGCTCGGCAGCTGCTTCCTATTTATGACGGTCACAGTGTCCGGGGGGGTCTCATGACCCCCCTTTTGCGACCTGCTGACCAACAAAGTCCATGGGGGGAAGCCAGATTCACTTTACCGTGTTGCCAACTGAACAACTGCAACAACTCCCTTCACAACAATGGGAAGAAAGGTGACCAAATGGGGCAAAAACTCCCTTAACAAAGGTCTCACTTAGCAACAAAGGTTTTGGCCTCCGCTGAGGTCGTAAGTAGAGGACTACTTGCATTCTGGATTTTAAAAATCATACTGGTAACTTTTTAAAAAGTCAACTGCCAGGATAAAGTTAATTAATAACAGGACGCCTGGAAATTGTTCTAATTACTAATGAAATGAAAAATAAACCCGCGGGGTAGATGGAGAATTCAAGCAGGAAGTGTTGCAATAATGGACACCGACCAACTCCCCCCCCCAAGCCCCCCCCCGCAAAGGCAACCATGACCGGGCAGGGCCAGGGGTGTGAATACTTAGTTCTGGGTTGAGGACCCCTGCCAGCTTCTGCCCCGGCCTTTTTGCCAACGCTTGTGGGCAGCGGCAGCAGACGTTTCCCCAAAATATTGCCGAGAAGCCGGCCGGCCTAGATACGTCCAAGCAGTCTCTGGGAGTGAAAGCTGACTGGAAGGTCCAAAAAATGGGGGGGGAAGGGAGGGCTGGGCACTCAGCCTGGCATGCTGCCTCTTCAAGGGGTACCCCGAAACCTCCAATCCTCTCAGGAGAAGGAAGTTACCGGGGTGCCGCTGCAGCAGCAATGAAATGGTTGCCTTAATGGATCAATTTTATTTAATTGGGGGCTCCCACTGGTTCCACTGGGGGAGGGGGCTGCGATGCTTGCAGGCACCCTGTTGACAGGCTTGTTTTAAGGCGGGGGGGGTCCCCAAAGGTTCTGCTGAAGATGTGGAGGCCCACACGAAGGGGAAATGTCCTGGCTCCCCCACTGCCCTTGAAGAGGCGGCACTGGCGCGCGAACACACACACACACACACACACACACACACACACACACACAGAGTTCCTGCTCCATCACTTCATTTATTTCTTTGCGACTGTTATGACTTTGGTAGCGGCTTCCGGTTACTCTCCTAAGCAGCTCTTCTTCTGAGTCTCTTTTTTCCTCTTCAAACTGAACAGGGTGGCTCTCCACCCCATCTAGGGACCGTTTGGAACCGCTGGCTCAGGAATTCTGGGAGCTGAAGTCCATGAGTCATACCTACCCCTGGACTCTGGAGGAATCAACCCATTTGCATCGATGACCTCCGTCCCTGCCATCCAAATACCCCCCCCCCCCATCTTCCCCAGGAGGTGCAGGAGAAGAAGAGACCTTTGGAAAAGCTTTGGAAATCAGCTGGGGGGAGGGGGGGGCGTTCTGATGCCCCTACCTCAGATGAAGGTCTTCAGAGAACTTCAGGCAGGCGTAGATGAATTCCTTGATCTGGGTATAAACCCGAGGCACCAGTTCGGAAAAGGGGAACTTCCTGGGGAACGGCTGCTGCAAAATGGAGGGGGGGGGAGACGGGTCAGCGAGACATACGTCCACCCCAGCCCGAGCGGACGTCGCCCCCTCCCCGGCCAGGTTGCTCGCTCTGCTGGGGCTCTGCTTTCCCCCCACCCCCAAACTCCTTTCTCCCCTCCTGGCCGTGGGCCTCCTCTGTGTGGGTCCGAATTGCTGCAGGACAACTCAACAATTCCATGTAAGTATTTACATTAAACAGTCATTGTATTCTTTTTGTCATTCTCATTTCATTTTGCCCCTCCTTTTGCATCCTTTCTTTACTGATTCTATTCCATCCTTTCTTTTTGCTATCAGCGTAGCGCTTGTCCCGCAGCAAGTCGTCCTGTGACGAGTGGGGTGTGCTGAGTAGGCCTAGGCCGGGGTTCTGCAACCTTGGCTCTTTTGTGACTCGTGGACTTCAACTCCCAGAATTCCTCAGCCAGCCATGCTGAGGGCAAAGGGACAGGTTTCTAAGTTGAGCCATGCTGGCTCAGGAATTCTGGGAGTTGAAGTCCACGAGTCATGAGGGGGCCATAGTTCCCCCATGGTGGCTCAGGAATTCTGGGAGTTGAAGTCCACGAGTCATAAAGCGGACTAGACCTAGGCCAGAGGTAGGCAACCTTGGCTCTTTTATGACTCCTGGACTTCAACTCCCAGAATTCCTGAGCCAGCCTGGGGAGAAAGGGAGCCTGAGGGGAAAGGGAGAGGTTTCCAAGCTGAGCCAGGCTGGTTCAGGAATTCTGGGAGTTGAAGTCCATCAGTCATAAAAGAGCCAAGATGGCCGACCCCTGGTATAGGGTCTCCTGCCATGGGCAAGGGTTGGACTGGAAGACCTCCAGGGTCCCTTCCAGCTCTGTTCTGACTTTACCTCCAGCCTCCACAGTTGTCATGACTGTAAACCAGTAGCCGGCTTTCCATCGTGGCCCTCTGCCCCTCCCAGGGACAACCCCCCCCGCAGCACCCCCAAGCTCTCCTCTTTTGAGGGCTGCCAGGGCCGGAAGCGCTGCTAGAGATCATCCAAACCGTCCTCACAGAGCCAACCCTGAGCGGCTCTGGAGCGGAGGAATCTCCTGGGCCTCTGGCTGTGGAGAAATATTCTGAAGGTGGAGAGGAGGCGGCCTCAGTGCTTCAGGGGAACCCCCGGGGTTTCAGCACCGCCTTCCCTCACGCCTCACCTTCTCCAGCTCCGCATCGTGGAATGGGAACTGCCCCACCATCTTCTCGTACTGCTCTTCGTCGGCCACCGAGATGGGGCTGTAGTTATCCAAATCCAGAATATTTCTGAGAAACAGAGAACAGCTTTCGCTCCGCCTGTGCAGAAAACCCAGCTGGCCTCCTCGGCCTGCCCAAACAACCCGGTGGATGCGTTTGTACGCAAAAATGAAAGGGCTCCAGGGCCGGGGAATAAGGAAGCGGCCAGGCGGGCTGAGACCCTGGAAGCCGTCCCCAAGGAGGGCCGAGGGCCTGGCCGTGGAAGGGCCCCTGTGGGTTTCCAGAGCAGGTTGAGGGGGTCCCCTCACCTTCTGCCGCTCCTGCCTTAACTCTGCTGGGTGCCGTGTCTGTTCTCATTTTTAAACTACCCCTTTGAGTTCTACCGTCCGATCGTCCATGGTGCAGCCTGGAAATCTGCCTTTCTGGTGCAGGAATGCCGTCAGTGAGCCAGGGGCCCAATCCACCCAAGGAGGCCTCACCTGAAGGCTCCTGCCCATTTCTTCAGTAGCGTCTCACTGTACTGGTCCTGGATCTCCAGAAGCAGGTCAAAGAGCTGGTTGACCGGGAAGCCGTAGCCCTGGCAGAGAGACACGGAGGGGGGGGGTTCAGGGGCCCTGGGGAGGATGGCAGACCCCTGCCCAGCCCCGGGGACTCTGTGATGGTGCTCAGACAAGCATATCAGGTGTCAGGTTACTTACAGGACCGCATACTGCCGCATCGTTCCCAGAGACCGGTGAGGTCCCACAGATCGGGCCTCCTTCAGGTCCCGTCGGCCAGACAATGTCGGCTGGCGGGCCCTCGAGGAAGGGCCTTTTTTGTAGTGGCTCCAACGTGGTGGAATCAACTTCCCCCCGAGATTCGAACTACTCCCACCTTGCCGGCCTTCAAGAAAGCCATTAAAACTCTCCTGTTCCGGCAGGCCTGGGGTTGATGTCCCCGGCGGGGCCGGGATACGATTGGGACATGCTGTGTGAATGCACTTATTTTTATTGTTTTATTGTTATATTTATTGTTTTAATTTTGTACGCCGCCCTGAGTCCCTAGGGATTGGGCGGCATATACATTTTATTAATAAAATAAAAATAAATAAGTATCTTTGGGGAGGAATTAGCCCGGCCTTCACGGCCTCCATGGGGAAAGGGCTGTCTGATTCCCAGGCCGTGCCTGGAGGGGTGCTGGGGATGGTGGACGGGGCGAGGCGGCTCCTTACCTGGAGAGTGTCAGCAAAAAGCACAATGAGGTTTTTCAGATCCAGCACCAGGTCTGGGTCTGAGCAATAGGACTGGAAAAGAAGGAACGGAAGAAGCACTCACTTGCGGCATTCCTATAGGTCCATATCTTTGAGGGACTCGGAGAAGGACAGTGAGGAACGCTAATATATTTTGAACTTGCAGTTCCACAAGGTGATTGGTTGCAAAAAAGAAAATCACCCAAATCAAACCACCTAAAACTTAGCTCAAATCAGCTTGTTAAAGGAAGGTGCCATTGTGGGGTCTTTGGTCCTCTCTGAGCTTGGCTGTTTGCATACAGACATTTAATTACCAAACTAGGGAACATCATCAGTGCTAGAAGGGAGTGGGGTGTGTGGAAAGGAGGAGGAGGAAGGACTGTGGGGTCCTTGGTGCTCTCTGAGCTGGGTGGTTTCCTTACAGACGTTTCCTGACCCAACAAAGTAACATCATCAGTACTAAAGTAGCATCGCTATCTATATCAAAATAATGCTCAGGTCCATTTTGAAAAAATGCTATGAAAAAAATAGCACATTAAGAGCTGCAAAGCAGAACATCTGTGTCAGATCCAGATCCCAGATAGCAGAACTGAAGTTTCAGGCAAAGGAACCCAAAAGCACCACTTGGGTTTTTTACAGTGCAGGAACCCCAGACCACCTACCCAAGTGACCGCTACTCACCGAATGTGTCCGGAGGGCAGCGATGGTCTTGGAGAGGGCCATATCCCAGAGCTCATCAATGTAGGCTCTGTCCACCAAGCCCTGGCTTGTGTGCAGAATGTGGTCCTCGATGACAAAAAAGCTAAGAAGAAGGAAGGAGAGCTGTCCGAGAGCCTATCAATCTATCTATCAATCAGAGTAGAGCTGGGAGGGGACCTTGGAGGTCTTCTAGTCCAACCCCCTGCTCCAGCAGGAGACCCTAGAGCATTTCAGACAAGGGGATGACCACTCTGATCTGAATGGACCAACTGGGGTTGATGTGGTCAGCCCATCTCTGGCTTCCCTGGACCTGGAGGAAGGGCGGTCCAAAGTCTTCGCCCAGAGCAGGGGTGTCCAACCTGGGCCAATTTAAGACCTGGACTTCAACTCCCAGAATCCCCCAGCCAGCCATGGGATTCAGAGTTTTCTGTCCAAATTTCCGGGGGGGGAGGGAAGGGGGGGCTTCCAGGAAGTTGTAGACTGGGCAAACCCCTCCCCCGGGGCTGCCGACAACAGGACAACGGATGTGTTCGCAATCCCCAGGTGTCACACTTGCACGAGGGAGACCTGCTCCCACTTAGCAAGAACAGAGAGGCAGATGGGTGCTGTGGTTAAGGGGTCCGGCGAGAAGCCAGGAGGCCCCGAATTCTAGTCCTGCTTGGCACGAAGCCAGCTGGGCGACCCTGGGCCAGCCAGTCACCCTGCCCTCGGAAGGAGGCAACGGCGAGCCCTTCTGAAGAGCCTTGCCAGGAAAATTGCAGGGACCAATCCAGGCAGCCTCCGAGCATCAGACACGACGGAACGGAAGGAGAACAAATACAAACGATCAAAAGAAGCCTGCTTCTTGGCAACTTTTAGTTACGGGGAGTCCTCAATATACGGCCACAACTGAACCCCAAATTTCTGTTGCTAAGTGAAACAGTTTTGTCCCATTTTATGACCTTTATGGCCATGGTTGTTAAGCGAATCACTGCAGCTGTAAGTCACATGGCTGTTAAGTGAGTCCATCTTCCCCCGTTGACTTGGCCAGTCAGATGGTCGCAAGAGGGGATCACGTGACACACACACACACATGGACACTGCGACCGTCGTAAATATGAGCCAGCTGTCAAGCGTAACTGAGTGTCACGTGACCCTGGGGCTGTAAGTGTGGGAAAAAGGGCCACTTTTTCCAGTGTCGTCACTACTTCCAATGGCCACTAAACAAATGGCTGTAACTGGAGGACGGCCCGCTCCGCACAGGAGCCGAGACCCAAGAGGAAAAGAACGACACTCACCCCACAATCTGATGGAAGTACTTCCGGTAGCCGGAGAGGGTCTCGTGCTAGAGACAGAGGGGGGGAAGGGAACAAGGTTAAAACACGCTGAGGGAGGGGAAAACACCAAGAAATCCAGCCCAGGTGAGACCCCCCCCCCAACCAAACCCTCTGAGACCTCACCATGTTGGAGGGGGGCTGCAGAACCAGCCGGGCCTGCTTCCTCCTCTGCTTCCGGTAGTAGCTCTCGAAGGTCTCTCGGGCTCCCTGTCAAGGGGGAAAGGGGTCAAGTGCCTCCCGGGGACCGAGGGTCTCCCTTGCCCCCCCCCACCACCAAGGAGAGGCCCTGGGACGGCTCAAGAGGAGGGCGGTGGGCCTCGTCTTGCTTGGGGCTTGAACCTTCTCAAGTGAAAAATCCGGGGCCGAGCTGCAATCCTGCTCGGCCCGCCTCAAGTTGTCCGGAGGAACCAGCCCTGCCAGATTCGCCCCCTTGGCTGGACCTGCGGGCTTTGGGACGTGCCTCCTGGGATAGCTTCTTGGAAACTCAGCGTGGACAGAAGCCCTTTCCACGAGGGTCTTTTGGGGGATCCCCCAGTGCCGGCTGGGGCTGATAGAAACCGGAGTCCCCACCACCACCACCGCTGCCTTGAAGCCCCTCCTTTTGTGTCCGAAGCATTAGACAGAAGGTGGTCCTCCCAAGGGACGTTCATCCTACGTTCAGGGCTCCTACGTAGTTTTCCCCTTCCAGTGGTCAACGTGTGGTCACTACCACCACAGAAGGGCTGGCTGGAATGGAGCCCCATGAAGGCAAGAAGAGGCTCAGCCCATGCCAGGAGCCAGAATGCTCGGGGCTTCTGTGGAAGGCCTGAGAAGGTCTTGGCCCACAACGGAGAAGAAGCAGGGGTTGAGTCTCACATGGGGAGCTTTTTGAGAGGCCATCAAAAAACTCTCTCCATCTTGACCAGGGCTCTTCCAACTTGGCCCTTTGATGAGTTGTGGACTTCAACGTCCAGAATTCCTCAGCCAGGATGCTTTAGGACAGGCGTCTTCAAACTTGGCCCGTTGATGACTTGTGGACTTCAACTCCCAGAATTCCTCAGCCAGGCACACGTGCCTGGCTGAGGAATTCTGGGAGTTGAAGTCCACAAGTCATCAAAGGGCCAAGTTGGAAGACCCCTGATCTTGACTTCTGAAAGGTCCAGGTGAGGAGAGGGTGTGAGGACTTCTCAGCCTGCCCACCTGGTTTATTAACACCCTCGGAGAACTTTAAAAGACAAGATCTAATGTGGCTTCTCTTTGTTCCTTCTATATTCCTGGTAAAAGTACCTTAACTAGTACTGCTCAATTAATCAGAACAAGCCCTGAATTCACTTTTCAGCCCTACAGCATAGGCTCTGATCTTAGAAATAAAGTATGTCATATATTTTTGTCATAAAATACCATTTCCCAGCTGAATTCTTTTAGAATTTTTTTTTTTATAATGCATGGAGTTATCTGCATGAAGGGATCTACAGCATTTGTTTTCAATTTTCATCAGTACCCAAGGAGTTTGTGTTGCCCACCATTTACTTCGTCTCCATGCAAGATCTTTTCTTGGAAACCCCCTCTAGGGGCCATCTCTCTGCCCCTCCCTGCAGCGAAGGCACCGGGGGACCCCCAAATCCGATTCGACTTTCCTGCAATCCCCTGGACCTACTTCTTCAAGGGGCTGATTAACTCCCTTTGACAGCTTGCTTCTGATGCATCCAAATTATTTTTACAGTACTTTTTAAAGGTATTAGAAAAATGTTCCCCGAAATATAGAATAGAATATTTATATTTTAAGCCTGTTAACTGTCAACTTGTATTTCTTTCCGTGGTTCCAATCTCATCCAGAGCTTGGATTTGTTGACTCTTTTTTGCTACGCATTCAGCTGTTCGGTGACCTCTTCCCTCCTGCATACCTGTCTTACTCACCTCCTAGGCCTGTTGAAGAGAAAAAAATAACACCCATCCAGATGCCCTTAGAGCAGGGGTTCTCAACCTTGGCCACTTTAAGACTTGTGGACTTCAATTCCCAGAATTCCTCAGCCAGCTTTGCTGGCTGAGGAATTCTGGAAGTTGAAGTCCACAAGTCTTAAAGTGGCCAAGGTTGAGAACCCCTGCCTTAGAGCAGTAATGGCAAACCTTTTAGAGACCAAGTGCCCAAACTGCAACCCAAAACCCACTTATGCATTGTCGGGTGCCGGGTGGGTGTGGCCCATTGGGTGGGCATGGCTGCGGTGGTAACGGCAGACTGGGTGGGACTAAAAAGTTCAATCAACCAATTCCAACTTTGCAAGATCTTTCCCCCCCCCCCAGAAGTTGAAATTGACTGATTGAACCTTTTTTTTTGTACATGGCGGCGGAGGCCTAAAGCGAAAAGGTTTTATCAAACCCAGCTGAAGGCCTAGGACTGGGGCGACGGCGCGCGTGCCCACAGAGAGGGCTCTGAGTGCCACCTCTGGCACCCGTGCCATGGGTTCGCCGCCATTGCCTTAGAGCTTAGGCAGAATTTCCCCCTCTGGGTGCCTTTATGGGAGAAATGGATAAATGCTGTTGAGCAGCGTGCCTGGAACCCTTGTTACAATGGGGGGGGGGGAATTGTTTAAATAAATAAATAAATAAATAAACCAGCCTTTTCTTCCGGAAAACCCTCCCTTTCTAACAAGCAGCAGACGCAGGATCCTGTCCGTGGGCAAAAGGCCAGGAGGGCAAGTTAAAAGTCCTGCACTGCTGGAGCTGCCCGTTCCAGATGGTCAGCTCTGGTCTTCACTTCCCAGCCCTGACCCTCCTGGTAAGATTGAGCCCCTGCCCCACTGAGCAGAAAGCCGGACTCCTCTGGACCCACAGTAGCTCCATTCAGCAGCCCTAGCAGGAGGCCCCTAGTTGTTGCTGCTGCTGTTGTTGTTGTTATCCTCCTCCTCCTCCACCCCCACCCCACCACCTGCAAACCCTGCTGCCTTCTAGCACTGAGGGTGTTCCCTAGTTGGGTCCTTGAACGTGTGCAAGAAAATAACCCAGTGCAGAGAACACGAAGGACCCCGTGGTTGTCTTCATCATCATCCTCTTCCTCCTCCTCCTTTTTCTGCCTGCCTCCTCCTCTTCCTCCTCCTCCTCCTCTTCCTCCTCCTCCTCCTCTTCCTCCCATGGCTTCCTCTGCCAGGAGCTGATCCTCCAACAGGGAGGGAGGCAGGCCTGGAGGCTGCTCCGCTGACCGCCTGACCTCTTGCCAAAGTTCAGGGCTTCCTAGAGAGCCTCTGCCCTGCTGCACGCCTGGGGCAGGGGGGGGAAGGCCCCACAGATGCTCCGGCCATGACCCGGCGGCCCCGGAGGCTGCCCGATAAGCAGGGCTGGCAGAGCAAAGCAGGATTTCCACTAATCCGTTGGGAACTTCTCAGCGGCTCAGCCATAAAAACGAGGTGACAGGAAGGTCGCCCTCACGAACAATGCCGAAGCCCGGAGTGTTTACATGCGCCCAGGGATGCTTTTCCAGGGCAGCTGGGCCCTCCGATGATAAGGCCATTGTCAGGGAGGCCCGGTCGCCTTTCGGCAGCCCTTGCGCTCCGGCCCTTCTGCCCGGCCGATGAGAACGTGCTTTCCGGTGCTGGCTTGACCGCGGCCACCGTGGCCCTGACCCGTCCACGGCCTTTCCCCAGGTCCCTCCGAGGTCAATCCCGGGGAGGGCACGGGGCCTCTAGTGCAGTGTTTCTCAACCTTGACCATTTTAAGGCATGTGGACCTCAACTCCCAGAATTCCACAGCCAGCAACGCTGGCTGTGGAATTCTGGGAGTTGAAGTCCACATGCCTTAAAATGGTCAAGGTTGAGAAACACTGCTCTAGTGGAAAGCCAGTCCCTGCACTGTAATTCCTCAAAGGCCTTTCCCAGGAGGCCTCTCAGAGGCAACACACACACACACACACACACACACACACACACACAAACACACACACACAGACAGACGCAGCACTCTCCAAAGGGCACAAGGCTCCCCAACCCCTGAAACTAGACGTTCAAAGAGAGGTCAGAGAACCGTGGCTTTCGTGGCCTCATTCGTGTCACGAAAGAGACCGTCTTAAGGCCCAAAAGGGGCAGCTGGACCACTCAGGCCACCTGAAGGGTGGCTCTCTTCTCCACCTCAGAGCCTATGTTCCCCTGCTGCTGTAGAACCAATGGGGCACCTTTACTGACCTGCCGTGGGGCAGGTGAAGGAAATGGACCGCTGTCTTCCAGAGGAACAGCAACCCAGTTGCTCTCCTGGGTCAGGAGGGGAGGGGAGACCCCCAGCCGATCGCAGGAGCGGGGAGGGTGGCCAGATATTCCTGCTGGGGCAATTCCTCCCCCCCCTCACCCAGTCATCAGTCCAGCCGCATTCACACAACATATTGTTGAGACTCTAGAAAGAGTGCAGAGAAGAGCAACAAAGAGGATTAGGGGACTGGAGGCTAAAACATATAAGGAACGGTTGCTAGAATTGGGTATGTCTAGTTTAACGAAGAGAAGGACGAGGGGGGACAGGATAGCAGCATTCCAGTATCTCAGGGGCTGCCCCAAAGGAGAGGGAGTCAAGCTACTCTCCAAAGCCCCCGAAGGCCAGACAAGAAGCAATGGATGGAAACTCATCTAGGAGAGAAGCAACCTAGAACTAAGGAGAAACTTCCTGACACTGAGGACAATTAACCAGTGGAACCACCTGCCTCCAGAAGCGGTGAATGCTCCAACACTGGAAGTTTTTAAGAAGAGACTGGACAGCCATTTGTCCGAAATGGTGTAGGGTTTCCTGCCTGAGCAGGGGGTTGGACTAGATGACCTCCAAGGTCCCTTCCAACTTTACTACTATTACTATTACTATATTGACCGACGAGAGGCTCAGCAACAGAGGAGAATCTTCGCAGCCTGGGGTGACCGGAGGGCTCCTTGGCGCTCTCTCAGCTTGCTGCTTTCCTTGCAGGCTTTCCATCCTGACCCAAACCAGGCAGACTCAGCAATTGCATTTACGAAACGTGCAAACCCGGAGTAGCTTTAACTTTATTTCTGCCATCTCGAAATGTCGTGTGAAGCTACTCTGTTTGGGGAGCTTACAGTTCCGTGCGTTGAGTTGGGTCGCCTCAGGAAACGGGTCGGTTCAGTGGCAGAGCTGACACGACGACCTGGTCCAAGAGCCCTGTCCCTCTTCACCAGATCCCGTTCTTCAGGAATCACATGCTGATAAATAGGCTGGACTGATCCGACAATACAGGCACAACGGCAGCCTCCAGGTAGTGGACGAAGCCCTTTGCTCCAACTGCCCACAAAGACCTGGGACCGGCGGTGGGAGCCAGGCTTCTCGCAGACAATCACCCGGCAAGATGGGGCTGCATTAAGTTGGTGTTACCTACCAAGGCTCCACCGTTGTGTGTTTTCACATCCTTCGTCACGTGTATCGACATATCCATTCTTATTTTAGATCTGATCACTCTTCAGCCCTTTTGCTATTTTCCTGCCATCCCCTCCCCGGAAGACTGGCACCCCTTCGGCGAGAAGCGTTTGGCCCGCAGTTTGCTCTGCTGACCCCCTAGGCCAGGGGTAGGCCACCTGGGCTCTTTTATGACTGGTGGACTTCAACTCCCAGAATTCCTGAGCCAGCCATGCTGAGGGGAAAGGGAGAGTTTCCAAGCTGAGCCGTGCTGGCTCAGGAATTCTGGGAGTTGAAGTCCACAAGTCATAAAGCGGCCTAGGCCTAGGCCAGGGGTAGGCCACCTTGGCTCTTTTATGACTCGTGGACTTCAACTCCCAGAATTCCTGAGCCAGCCATGCTGAGGGGAAAGGGAGAGGTCTCCAAGCTGGGCCAGGCTGGCTCAGGAATTCTGGGAGTTGAAATCCACGAGTCCTAAAAGAGCCAAGGTTGCCTACCCCTGGCCCAGGGGGAGCAGGTCACACAAGAATGGCAATAAGATGAGACAACCAACCAACACGAGGAGGTTTTCCAGAAAGGCAGCCCAGCCATTGCCACAGCCCCTGCGATGGAGCTGGAAAGAAATCAGAATATTTTCGAGGAGTCTCTTTTCCCGATTCACTCTGTCCTCACAGCGCTGCCATCCTGCCCGGGTCTGCAGCCTGCAGGGGATGCCCATCGCTCAACGCTGAAGCTTGGCTGCCTCCCAGCTGCCCGACCGCCTCTGACCTTGGCCCCCATCCACCGGTCACGCCCAATGAGGTCTTTCTTAGAGATGTTACCAGGGAAGAACAATTGTTCAACGATGCGAGAGTGGAAACAAACGAAGGGGCAGCCACTTACCAACACGGAGTAGATGTGGAAGCAGCGGTAGACGGGGGAGAAGTCCACCAAATCCTGAGCACCAGGCACCTGGGGTGACATATAAGAGGGACACCTGTCAATCAAAGCAGGGAGGGAACGTAGAGGCTGCTTTGGGGGGAGGATCAAAGAGAAGGGAGCAGCCGGAACTAAAGAAATAACCCAGGTAAAACAGAGGGTTTTGAAGGGCCAATTCTGGGAGTTGGTCCACAAGTCATCAAAGGGCCGAGTTTGAAAATCCCTGGGTTAAGTGAACGACTACAGTTGTTAAGTTAGTCATGTGGTCATTACATGAACCTGGCTTCCCCATAACGTTTGTCACAAGGTTGCAAAAGGGGATCCCGTGACACACAAACACACCCCGGGACGTGGCGACCGTCACAAACACAGGCCAGTTGCATACAAGCACCCAAATTCTGATCACGTGACCACGGGGATGCTGCGAAGGTCCTATGTCACAATTTTCAGTGCCCTTGTGACTCCAAATGGTCACTAAATGAGGCTGAGGTTGGTTTGCTCCTCTGTGAGCAAAGCGCCTTGGGTGGGCGGTGAGAGAGGCCCGGGAAAGGCCCAGAGGCCCACCTGGCCCTCGGGAAAACCCCCAAGGAGAGCGGTTCTTGCAGCGGCAGCCAACTCTCCCCCCCCCCGCCTCCAGTAGATCCAAAACCAAATGCAGATCAGCTGCCTCCCTCCGAGCCCCCCACCCGCCTTCCCTCCTGGCCGTTTCCAGGGCCGGTCGGGCCAATCCCTCCACCGCAGACTTGCCTCTTCTTCCTCCTCCTCCTCTTCCTCCTCTTCCACATCCAGGATCCCGGAATCCTGCTCGGAGATCGGAGTGGGGCTCTTGACCTCCAGCCCGGAGTTTGCACCAGCCTCTCTCCTGCACCTTCGGCCCCCGACTCTCAAGGGCTGCCCCACCAGGCCATCCAGGTCCCTCTGCTGCTGGGCCTAGGACACAAGCCGACGGGAAGCTCAGGCCGGGCGCCGCCGTGCCCATCGTGCGGGGGAAGCTCGTCGTTATTACCTGCCCTTTGGAACCATCCCTAGAAGCCCCCCCCCAGTCTGAGGGATCCCTTTGTGGCCCAGCTGCAGTGGGGCTAGGACCCCCGGGGGCCCCATCACCACATCCGCCATTGAAAGGACCCAGAGTCGCTTTGCGTCTGTCAGTTCCAGCTGTCCACATCTGGGCTCCAGAGGGGCCCGAAAGCCCTCCAGCGGCAGCCTGGGAAACCTGAATTGTGCATGGCAGATGGACGCCAGCTGCCGACCGCCTTCTGCCAAGATGGCCAGGCCAGGGCAAGCCAGGCGGGGGGAGGAGGAGGACCAGACCCCTCCCTCCCCTGATTGACAACTTGAATCCTCCAGTGAAACATTTTGGTCTCTGAGAAACACTGGGGGGGTGGGGAGGCAGCTTGAAGCCGAGTTGAAGTCCACGAGTCATCAAAGGGCCAAGTTGGAAGACCCCTGATATAGACTTTAAGAGGAGTGGACTTCAACTCCCAGAATTCCTCAGCCAGCGTGCCTGGCTGAGGAATTCTGGGAGTTGAAGTCCACCAGTCATCAAAGGGCCAAGTTGGAAGACCCCTGATATAGACTTTAAGAGGAGTGGACTTCAACTCCCAGAATTCCTCAACCAGCGTGCCTGGCGGAGGAATTCTGGGAGTTGAAGTCCACCAGTCATCAAAGGGCCAAGTTGGAAGAGCCCTGGTCTACAACAACCCACCACAGCCAAACTTGCTGTGGCCAACGCACTGCGGGGCAACTTGCCGCAGGAGAAGAGCTACACTAATATCAAAGAAATGGTGGAATGGAATCATTAAAGGATGCCAAAGGAGGGACGAAACAAAATGTGAATGACAAACATTAAAATCAGTTTAATTATTTTACATAATTAAATTGAACTGTTGAATGGACCCATAGTGAGTTGTCCCAATCCGCCACTGCCCAGTCTGACACCCGAGACTCCAGCCTTTGGGGGCTGAGGAGAGCGGGAGGGAGGCCAGGGAGAGCATGAAACTGGAGCGCCCTCTGAGCCAGCCTTAAACTGAGGCAAGAGAGACGGTCAGCGGACAGACCCTCTAGATCCGGGGGGGGGGTGTGTGTCTCCAACCTTGGCCCCCTTTAAGACTTGTGGACTTCAACTCCCAGAATTCCCCAGCCGGCTGGGAGTTGAAGACCACGAGCCTTAAAGTGGGCAGGGTTAGATTGTGGACAGGAGTCAAGGGGCTTCTTCAGTCGCATTCAATCCGGAAGGATTGCCCCCCCCCCTTTTTTTGAGGAGGAAGCCCTCTGCGCCCTGGTGACCCATAAAGGACCTGCAGGCCCCGCCCATTTCAGCACTTGCGTTCTGTTTCCCATAAAGGCCTCTGTGCCCCCCCCCCCACACACACACACGGAGGGGCCGCCTGGAAGGCACATCAAAGGGCCGGGGGGGGGGGGCTCCATCAGGCATTTGAGCGACCTGGAGAGGAGAGGGGAGGCAGCCCCCCCAAAAAAAACCTTACCTTTCGCCTTACATGAAAGCCGGGCCATTACTGCACGGCACCTGGCTCACCCCAAGCCATCAATCCCGGTGCCCCCCCTCTTTGCCCCCCCTTAAAGAGAGTGAGGAGGGGGCGGCTCTCTGCTTCCAGGCTGGCCCACAGCAGCCAGGCAGCAAGCAAGGTGGCTTGGCCACGTACTTCCTGCTCCACCCTCCCAGACTAGCTGGGGGGGGTCAAGCCCACTTTGCAGAAGGAAGCCCCCCCCCCTGCCTGGTCCAGCTTCTCCGGGGCAAGGCAGCCCCCCCCCACGGAGGCTCAAGTGTGGGGCTCGCCACCGTGCCGGATTTCTCTCTGGGTTGGGACCCTTCCTGGGGGGCTGACTGGCTGAGTCTCTCGTGCAGCAGCCCCGGGAAAGCAGCAGCCAGGCCTTCTTCCCCTGGGTGATGACCGGTCTGGCCTGGGACTCTCCCATCGTCTCATCGAGGATGATGGATCTGGGGATACTCCCGGTCTGGCTCCTCAGCTGAGACCTGCCTGGCTTGGGTGAGCCTTCTGGTGCAGGCTAGTCCTCCACTTACGATCACAATTGAGCCCCACGTTTCTCTTGTGACGCGAGATGTTTGTCCAGGGAGTTTTGCCCCACTTTACGACCTTTCTTGCCTCCGTTGTTAAGTGAATCATTGCGGATGTTAAGTTAGTAACATGGTTGTTTTTTATTTATTTATTTTATTTTTTCTTTTTCTGTTTCTTTTTTCTTGTATTTTTTTATATATTGTTGTTAATTATCTTATAATTTGTTTAATTAATGTAATTAGATTTGTTTATGGTTTATATGTGTCTTAAGATTTTCTTAAAATTTTTTTAATTAAGCCTGTATTCAGCTCTGGGAAGGTCGGGGGAGGGGAGGGGAGGGTTGGGAGGGTTTGGGGAAGGGAATTTTTTTGTAAAACTTAAAAATTTTCAATTAAAAAAAAAAAAGACTGGGTGGGCGCTGATCCCTCCTGCGGACCCTGCCGGCTTCCCCTCCGCCTCTCCCCAGAACGGCTGGCTAGCCTCCGGGTGCCGAGGGTCAGCCAATGCCAGGCTCCCCCACGGGGGTCCCACCGGCCCTGCGGAGGAGGCCCTGAGCCCGGGAAGCTATGGGCTCCTTCCTGGAGCGGAGCCGGGAGAGAAAAGCTGAGCAGCCCCCAAGGCGGAGGATTTATTGGGCCCGAAGGAGCCCCCCCCCCCGCCAGAGTTGTTTTATGGACCCCCCTAATGGGCTGAGACACGGGAGGCTGAAACGTGGTCTCCCAATCCCCCCCCCCCCAAAGCCACAGCCCTTGAAACCACACTGCGGAGAGGAGCAGGCGGGCAGGGAAGGGAGGGAGGCTAAGCGGGAGTGACAGGCAGGCTGGGCCGCTGCCAGAGGCAGGCTGGAAAGCCATAAAATCCCCCCCCCCAAATCAGATAAGAAGGGTCCAATTACTGCAAGGTGTAAACTCAACATACCGACACACCTTCTGGCTGAAGGCTTAAGTAAACAAAGGGGGGGGGGACTCAGCCACTTGCCACGAAAGGCCGTTTGCATCAGGGAGGAGGAGAAGGCTGGCCTGGCCCTTCTCCAAGCCCTTCCAAGGCACCTGACGCCGGCAATTGCAGGCCGTCCTCGACCTACGACGGTTCACTTAGTGGCCGAAGTCGCAAAAAAGACGACTTGTGACCGTTTTTCACACTTACGGCCATTGCAGCATCCCCACGTTCACGTGATTGACATTCGAACACTTGACAGCTGGTTCCCACTTACGACGGCCGCAGCGTCCCGGGGGGGGGGTCACGTGATCCCCTTTTGCGATCTGCTGACAGGCAAAGTCCATGGGGAAGGCCGGTTCACTTAACGGCCCTGTTACCTGACTTAATAACCGCAGTGATCCACTAAACAATAGCAGCAAGAAAAGCAGTAATGCACATGCAGCAGGGATGCCAGACGGCCACATTAACACTGGTGGGGGGGAGGAGGAGGAGGAGGAAGAGGAGGAGAGAAAGAGGGAGGAGGAGGAGAAGGAGGAAGAGAAAGAAGAGAAGGAGGAGGAAGAGAGAAAGAGGGAGGAGGAGGAGGAAGGAGAAAAGAAAGGGGAGGAGGAGGAGGAGGGGAAGGAGAGGAGGAGGAGGAGAGAAAGAGGGAGGAGGAGGAGAAATGAAAGGGGAGGAGGAGGAGAATGGAGAAGACAAAGAGGAGGAAGAAGAGAAAGAGGAGGAGGAAGAAGAGATAAAGAGGGAGGAGGAGGAGGAGAGAATGGAGAAGAGAAAGAGGAGGAGGAGGAGGAAGGAGAAGAGAAAGAGGAGGAAGAGGAAGAGAAAGAGGGAGGAGGAGGAGAAAGAAGAGAAAGGAGAAAAGGGGAGGAGGAGGAGGAGGCCACCGTGGATCAGCTTCAGCCGGGACCTCCTTGCACCCTCACCTAAAGGGCAGCAACCTGGCTTCCCACTTGGGGGCTGCTGGTTTCCCCAAGTCCCAGTTATTGCAATGCGTTCCATAGAGGGGACCCTACAGCCGAAGGGCGTCTCTCTCTCTCTCTCTCTGTCTGTCTTTAAGGTCCTCCACCAGTTCACAGCTGCCGGCCACTTGACGGAGCTCTGGGTGCTACTTAAGATCCTGCCTGGCTTCCAGGATCCCCCAGGATCCTCCCACATACTTGCTCACCAAGGCAGCACCTCTGCAGCCCTCGCCTTGAACGTACTTCCCATCAACAAAAAAGTGGGAGTATTTATTTCACTTGACCCGATTCAGAAGGCAGAGGGGTCTCAAGGCTGCTAAAGTTTAATCTCTTTTGCATGTTGACTTTTGATGTCTTTGGTTTGTTAACTTTTAATCTGTTTTTAATAGATATTCGTATGGCGTAGCAAAATGCAGCCTAGTGCGTGAAATTCACAGAACCGAAGTATAAAATGGGTATCAAAATATGAAACACCAGAGCAGTGAATTGTTTTAAAAACACACAGTAGGAGTGATGAATAAAATTACAAATAAAACTAAATTATGTCTCAGTGGTTACTGGAGTGACCAAACCCATGGCCACATACCGAGACCGTTCAGGCCAGGGCTAGGCAACCTTGGCTCTTTTATGACTGGTGGATTTCAACTCCCATGGCTCAGCTTGGAAACCTCTCCCTTTCCCCTCAGCGTGGCTGGCTCAGGAATTCTGGGAGTTGAAGTCCACCAATCATAAAAGAGCCAAGGTGGCCCACCCCTGGTCTAGGCCGCTTTATGACTGGTGGACTTCAATTCCCAGAATTCCTGAGCCAGCCTGGCTCAGCTTGGAAGCCTCTCCCTTTCCCCTCAGCATGGCTGGCTCAGGAATTCTGGGAGTTGAAGTCCACCAGTCATAAAAGAGCCAAGGTGGCCCACCCCTGGTTTAGGCACTGGGCATTTTTAACAGCAGCAGGCCCGCAAAGGGCGTGGGGGCCATTTGCATCAAGAGCAGCCAA